TAATTTTTAAGATGTGATGTCTTTTTCATTGTAATGCGCATTGAGCATCTTTTAGGAAATGGAAATGCGCAGTATAAATGCTCTTTATTATTATTATTATTATTATTATTGTTTTTGATGTTCCTAATCGGACCGCTCGCAGAGTGTGTGTGAAAGGATTGGGTTTAGGAACGACGCAGAGTAAGTTGTCTCAAATCTTTACTTTGTATTGATTTGCAGTCCTTCACAATGGTCCCCAATATGGTGTACGTGTGTGAAGCTTGGGTGTGTGTGTGTGTGTACGTGTGTGAAGCGTGTGTGGGTGTGTTAGAGTGTGTGTGTGAGTGTGTGTGTGTGCGTGTGTGCGTGTGTGTGTGTGCGTGTGTGTGTGTGTGTGTGTGTGTGTGTGGGTGGGTGGGTGAGTGTGTGTATACGTGTGTGAATGTGTGTGTGTGTGTGTGTGTGTGTGTGTGTGTGTGTGTGTGTGTGTGTGTGTGTGTGTGTGTGTGTGCGGGTGTGCTTGTGTTAATGCTTGTGAATGTGTGTGCGCTGGAATTTGTGTGAGTGCCGTATGAGATATTTTCTTGGATAAGGTACGGTAATATTAGTTGTTTTTTTAAAGTCCAGTACACTGTACAGTAGCATCCAACAGAAATATGTTTGTAAGATTGTTTTTGTCACTGAGATATTATTGTTTAATACGTGGACATGACGAACTACAATGATAATATAATATTTGTATTTCATCTGCCATTATAATCCAAGTTTCTCCATGTGAATACATTTCTTTTGCCAATAAAACAAGTTTCCCCACTTTATTGTATCAATCATAAATCACGTATCCTCATGTGAAAACTTAAAAAAAATATGAACCAAGTTTGCCCGCGTAAATACTTTTCTATCCCCAATTATAATTATGAGCCAATTTCCCACATTTGATTACTTTCTTATAAACCAATTTTTCTCAGATGAATGCTTTTTGTTTTGTCCATTAAAATCCAAGTTCCCCATGTTAAACTTTTCCCCCGAATTATAATTATCAACAATTATTCTCCTTTCACGAATACTTTTCTTTTTTATCAGTTGAAAACCAAATTTCTCCTCCTGAATACATTTCTTTTTATTTAATTAAGAAACAAATTTCCTCCAAATGAATACTTTTTTAAAACCTTAAAAACCAAATTTCCCTAAATGAAAACTTATATTTTATCCCCCACATGAACACCTTTTTTAAGCAATTAAAATCCAAGTTTTACTTAACAACTATGAAATAAGTTTTACCACAGGTACATTGTTTTTTTTAAATAAATAAAAACAATGTATTTTTATACACCTTTAACTGCCCCTTTCAATTTCAAAACAAATAATCCAAACTTGACCTCACATTCAGACGCGGCTTCAAGAGAGGTCAAACCGAGTGAGACTGGAGCGGTTTCCAAACACACCAGCGATTTGTGGAGTTGGTTATTGCTCTTAGGTTCCTAAGGGAGGCTTGGGGCAGTCGGGTGCTTCTCAAACATCCGTGGAAATTAGATTGAGACTGGGCCGGGCAGACGAGACACTGATCTCTGTGTGGTCAATAGGGAGAGTAGGAATCGAACTTAAAGAGGGGGGGGGGGAGGACAAAAGGAAATGGGCAAGTGCTTTGAAAGAACATAAGGGGTAGGGTGTCGACTTATTTGTGTTTAATATAGGTGTTTTTACGCCCTCATTGACACACTTAAGATCATAAATATATAGTAGCTAGCTTCCGACCCTGTCTGTCAGGGCCAGCATGGACTGAAAGGGATACAGCATACCAGCAGAAAGACAGAGATACTAGATTTTTGTTTAAACCTCGGGTCTCTTGTGTGCAACAGGGAAACCACTAGCACCTACACCACAGACTCCGGGTTCACCTACACCACAGACACCGGTCTGATCTGCATATTTAAGGAAGAGTAGGGGATCGAATGTGGAGTGGGGGGATGGGGGAGGGGAGGATGGGGTGCGAAGAAAACAAAAGGAAATGGTCGAGAGCTAAGGAGGACCGTGAGGAGAAGGGGGTCGATGGATAACACATACAGTCATGACTATTTAGTTTTGGAAGGAATTTCACTGCTCTTGCAACACAATAAGATCATATAAGTGCCGAGTAACAAAATAAAAAAGAAGTGGCGATCAGGACGATAAATGTGTGATAGGAAAGAAGGAGCTAACCGCACCAGAGCCCTCACCAACCACCACCTGTCCTGACTGTAGACGCAGAAGACTAAAATGAGCGGGTGGATAGAGGGTGCAACTGATTATTCCTACTTCCACTTTTTTCCATGTATTGTTCTTGTCTATCTGTCAACATTTTCCAAGCACTAAATGACCGTTGCTGGGTCGATGTGCTGCTTTTTAACTCTAACAAACAAAAAGTTAAACATAACAGCATGGGAACGGACAGCTGTTCTGGATTATATTAAGAAACTACCAATAATATTCTTACTCTTGAAGAACAAGAACGTTTCCGGCCGTTCACCTCTGAGCCAATTTTGTGCGCTTCATTTAGTCAGGTGGTTTTCTAACATACGCGGAAATTAGATTGAGAATTCAGCCTGTAGACAAGACACTGGTTCGTTGTCAATAGGTGATGTAAGGATCGGATGTGTGTGTGTGTGTGTGTGTGTGTGTGTGTCT